TCCTGACTACGTTTCTTAATATCAGACGTTTATCTGTGTTTTAAATAACAAGACTTCGTCAGTATAGTTTAACTTTTCTAAGCGTTCTCGATTGATGAAATTGTATTTAAAATGAATAACAATTTTCTTGGAAGAGATTTAAGCCATAAAAGACATCTTAACCAAGTTGAAATGGCTAGAGCAATTACTCTTTTACAAGTTGGTTAGGTGGTCAGAAAGCCCTATAGACAACGACAAAGAGTCCTTAAAACGAGAACCAGAACTTCTTCTCAACTGCGACATGTCCATTTTGAAGCAACTGGTAAGCATATCCACCCAGACTGTACGAAGCAAATAAATAATATTAGGAGTGATGCTGTTGGGCCTTTTTTGAAGAACAAGTGTTATGGATTGCCCAATTAAACATCCTTGGAGCATTATGAAAAGGCGCCAAAGACCAACTACCTTCATAATCACTTGACCATAAAGCCTACTTTAGGAGTATGAACTCCATGTATGCAACTGGTTTCCCAAAATTTAGAGGTTGCTGGTGTGTTTGTACCCAAACAGCAGACGCCAACTCCACTAGTGGTAACAGTTTTGAAAAATATTTTATTTGCCCTCTATCACAGAAAATGTTACTAAACCCCTTCATTGATGATATGAGGTGCAACGAAAGAAAAGCATCCACCATAGTTCTATAGTTTATAAAACTGTAATACCTACCTATGTATAAAAAATTAATTTTTAGACCTTTATATACTCGCTATATATGCAAAAACACAGTACGACCCAGAGTACATTATTCTATTTTGTATAATCCAACACTACCTTCTTTTTTGTTTTTTATTGTTCTTTAGCGCATATCACTTGACGAACCATTTTCTCTGAAACTTTGGATTTCTTTATGACACAGTCAATAATATCTGCCACAATTACTGGATTCAACCTATTTTGGGAAATAGCTCACTCGGTCTACCGCTCAAAGATGACGAGGCTAAGATGTCTCTAGGGAAAAATACGACAGCAATTTTCTCGTGGCTTTGTTGTAATTTTTAAAATCGATTGTTTCGTATTTTTTTCTTAATATCCTACTACCATTAGGGCCCACCACAACCAAAAAAAAAAGAAAAAACTTGAGGCCCCGTACATTTTTTATTTCATTGAAAATATATTTGCGTCGTAATTTATCAAAGAACAATTTATTTGAAATAGAAACCCAATGGGGCTTGAGTTTTTATTTAAAATTGTATGCTTCATTTAAATAAAATAGTTATATATAGTCAATACTAATAGAATTAGTTACAAAATGTTTGTGGTGGTTCTAGTACTAGTTATATCCTTCTCGTCGGATGTCCTCGGATGTAAAGTAAAGTTTAAACGATCCTCATTTCATGGAGAATTTCATGGATGTTTTTTATTTTAGGGAGCATGTCCAGAATGTGCGACGTTAATAAAAGAATATTATCCAAAAATAGAAATAGAACACATGAAATTGTCGATGGCATTGACAGAGCATAGATAAATATTAGAATCTGTGGAAAATAAGCTTAACAAAGATGTCGACGATGCAGTCAACTACATTAATAGGTTATTATTTGAATATGATACTTTTGTAGACGTGAAAATTGGACTTCTAGTGATAAACAAGAACATGGAACAGTGCCTGAGGAAAAAAATTCAGACATTTTGCCGATTAATTTGAACGATATCAGAAAATGCAGGTTAGATAATGTAAAATACGATTACCACTTTACGATTGTAAAGGAAGCAAACCATGATAGAACTAGATATCAATGCTGACTTGGACTGCGTTCGAAAAGTAAAGAGCGCCTTTGTCACGACTATCCAACCTCCAAAGATAATTTTACCAAATGCGCTGATGTAAATAACGAGGTGATGCCTTCATTGTAAACATTTTATTAAATATATTAAAACAAACTTACCGTATCTTTTCCTTTTATGATCTCTTCAGGAAACTGCATCTTCCTGGAAACCCCCACCTTCTTAGCCTTAATGGTGTTCTCTTTTTCTTCCAAGGAACTCGAATCCAGACTATCCTCCTCAATATCAGGCAATACGAACGTTTCTCTAGTTTTTTTTCTTTTATTTGAGTCGAGGTGTACTTTGGTGCATCAATCAATCGATGGTAAGTCTTGATTTCATTTTCATGCGAGGTGGTAGCTCATCCATATCCTCGGAACTTTTTTGGTGGAACATTTCCAGTTCCTCCCAGATTTTTATAAGAGCGTTCTCGACGTTTCCTTCTGGATGTCTTTAAATTTGTTCATCAACTTGTCAAAGATATTCTTTAAATTTACGTAGTCTTTCACTGTTTTAACTTCCATATTTTAGTAGCTGGTATATGTAATTACGCCCTCACCAGATGATGATAGAGAGTCTGTGTCTAGTTTAGGTTTTTTCCATTCCGCCTCGTTTTTAGTACACACATCGCATACAAAAAACAAGCGTTTTTTGGCTGATTGCTCTTTAACGGATGAGAACGAGCCCGTTGAGGTGAAGTCTTCATTGAATAGAAAACTGTCCGGGATTATTCTATAGCCGTCTATTTTGCTACTCAGGTAGTCCAAGTTTTCTGAAATGATTGAGTGTATGGTATTAAAATGTTAATCCTATAATGGCCTCCAAAATCTCCAAATCTCACACAAATTTTTTATGGGGTCGGTAAAAAAATAAGTGTATTGCTATACCTGATATATCCATAATTCTCACTGCTAAATAGTGTCCATTTTCTTGTGCAATTGTAACATATTCTCCTACAGCGGGTTGTCCCATTATTTCGGCGTTTGTTGATGGATCTACAATAAATTTGGAAATTATAAATTATACTGAAAGGTTGTTTTATATTATATGTTACCTCTGGTATAGTTTCTTTGTTTTTGACATGACAGGAACATAAGATCTAAAGCTCCTTGTATAATATCTGCATTGACTATAAAAAATTGTTTTATTTGTTAAAATATAAACTTCCCAAGGAGCACAGCTGGTTAAACTAAACAATAACCCTTTAAATTAAACATAACGTAAATTTAACGTTAATTTAACCAGTTGTGCTATTTGGGTTTGAGAAATATTAATACTTACAATCTTCAACTTTGACGTTATTGTTGCCAAACACCATATTTTCACTATTTCACTCTTTAAATATTAAATGTATATTATAACATTCTTACACTATCTTTCTCTTCAGAAATTTTATTGGAAACCCTAACATTTTTAACCTTAATTTCTTTAAAAAAACTCGAATCCTGACTACGTTTCTTAATATCAGACGTTTATCTGTGTTTTAAATAACAAGACTTCGTCAGTATAGTTTAACTTTTCTAAGCGTTCTCGATTGATGAAATTGTATTTAAAAATGAATAACAATTTTCTTGGAAGAGATTTAAGCCATAAAAGACATCTTAACCAAGTTGAAATGGCTAGAGCAATTACTCTTTTACAAGTTGGTTAGGTGGTCAGAAAGCCCTATAGACAACGACAAAGAGTCCTTAAAACGAGAACCAGAACTTCTTCTCAACTGCGACATGTCCATTTTGAAGCAACTGGTAGGCATATCCACCCAGACTGTACGAAGCAAATAAATAATATTAGGAGTGATGCTGTTGGGCCTTTTTTGAAGAACAAGTGTTATGGATTGCCCAATTAAACATCCTTGGAGCATTATGAAAAGGCGCCAAAGACCAACTACCTTCATAATCACTTGACGATGAAGCCTACCTCAGGAGTATGAACTCCATGTATGCAACTGGTTTCCCAAAATTTAGAGGGGGCTGGTGTGTTTGTATCCAAACAGCAGACGCCAACTCCACTAGTGGTAACAGTTTTCACAAATATTTATTTGCCCTCTATCACTGAACATGTTACTAAACCCCTTCATTGAGGATATGAGGTGCAACGAAAGAAAAGCATCCACCATAGTTCTATAGTTTATAAAACTGAAATACCTACCTATGTATAAAAACTCAACAAATTAATTTTTAGACCTTTATTAACTCGCTATATATGCAAAAACACAGTACGACCCAGAGTACATTATTCTATTTTGTATGATCCAACACTACCTTCTTTTTAGTTTTTTATTGTTCTTTAGCGCATATCACTTGACGAACCATTTTCTCTGGAACGTTGGATTTCTTTATGACACAGTCAATAATATCTGCCACAATTACTGGATTCAACCTATTTTGGGAAATAGCTCACTCGGTCTACCGCTCAAAGATGACGAGGCTAAGATGTCTCTAGGGAAAAAATACGACAGCAATTTTCTCGTGGCTTTGTTGTAATTTTTAAAATCGATTGTTTCGTATTTTTTTCTTAATATCCTACTACCATTAGGGCCCACCACAACCTAAAAAAAAGAAACAACTTGAGGCCCCGTACATTTTTTATTTCATTAAAAATATATTTGCGTCGTAATTTTCCCTGGAACGTTGGATTTCTTTATGACACATTAAATAATATCTGCCACAATTACTGGATTCAACCTATTTTGGGAAATAGCTCACTCGGTCTACCGCTCAAAGATGACGAGGCTAAGATGTCTCTAGGGAAAAAATACGACAGCAATTTTCTCGTGGCTTTGTTGTAATTTTTAAAATCGATTGTTTCGTATTTTTTTCTTAATATCCTACTACCATTAGGGCCCACTACAACCTAAAAAAAAGAAAAAACTTGAGGCCCCGTACATTTTTTATTTCATTGAAAATATATTTGCGTCGTAATTTTCTCTGGAACGTTGGATTTCTTTATGACACAGTCAATAATATCTGCCACAATTACTGGATTCAACCTATTTTCCTAATATCCTACTACCATTAGGGCCCACCACAACCTAAAAAAAAAGAAAAAACTTGAGGCCCCGTACATTTTTTATTTCATTGAAAATATATTTGCGTCGTAATTTTCTCTGGAACGTTGGATTTCTTTATGACACAGTCAATAATATCTGCCACAATTACTGGATTCAACCTATTTTCGAAAAATATTTGGGAAATAGCTCACTTTTGTTTTAAGGGTTTCTTGGCATCCAAAAATGCAGGACTCTGTCTACCGCTCAAAGATGACGAGGCTAAGATGTCTCTAGGGAAAAAATACGACAGCAATTTTCTCGTGGCTTTGTTGTAATTTTTAAAATCGATTGTTTCGTATTTTTTTCTTAATATCCTACTACCATTAGGGCCCACCACAACCTAAAAAAAAGAAACAACTTAAGTTGTTGAGGCCCCGTACATTTTTTATTTCATTGAAAATATATTTGGGTCGTAATTTTCCCTGGAACGTTGGATTTCTTTATGACACATTAAATAATATCTGCCACAATTACTGGATTCAACCTATTTTGGGAAATAGCTCACTCGGTCTACCGCTCAAAGATGACGAGGCTAAGATGTCTCTAGGGAAAAAATACGACAGCAATTTTCTCGTGGCTTTGTTGTAATTTTTAAAATCGATTGTTTCGTATTTTTTTCTTAATATCCTACTACCATTAGGGACCACCACAACCTAAAAAAAAGAAAAAACTTGAGGCCCCGTACATTTTTTATTTCATTGAAAATATATTTGCGTCGTAATTTTCTCTGGAACGTTGGATTTCTTTATGACACAGTCAATAATATCTGCCACAATTACTGGATTCAACCTATTTTCGAAAAATATTTGGGAAATAGCTCACTTTTGTTTTAAGGGTTTCTTGGCATCCAAAAAGGCAGGACTCTGTCTACCGCTCAAAGATGACGAGGCTAAGATGTCTCTAGGGAAAAAGTACGACAGCGATTTTCTTTGTATGATCCAACACTACTTTCTTTTTTGTTTTTTATTGTTCTTTAGCGCATATCACTTGACGAACCATTTTCTCTGGAACGTTGGATTTCTTTATGACACAGTCAATAATATCTGCCACAATTACTGGATTCAACCTATTTTGGGAAATAGCTCACTCGGTCTACCGCTCAAAGATGACGAGGCTAAGATGTCTCTAGGGAAAAAATACGACAGCAATTTTTTCGTGGCTTTGTTGTAATTTTTAAAATCGATTGTTTCGTATTTTTTTCTTAATATCCTACTACCATTAGGGCCCACCACAACCTAAAAAAAAGAAAAAACTTGAGGCCCCGTACATTTTTTATTTCATTGAAAATATATTTGCGTCGTAATTTTCTCTGGAACGTTGGATTTCTTTATGACACAGTCAATAATATCTGCCACAATTACTGGATTCAACCTATTTTCGAAAAATATTTGGGAAATAGCTCACTTTTGTTTTAAGGGTTTCTTGGCATCCAAAAATGCAGGACTCATTCTACCGCTCAAAGATGACGAGGCTAAGATGTCTCTAGGGAAAAAGTACGACAGCAATTTTCTTTGTATGTTCCAACACTACCTTCTTTTTTGTTTTTTATTGTTCTTTAGCGCATATCACTTGACGAACCATTTTCTGTTCGTTGGATTTCTTTATGACACAGTCAATAATATCTGCCACAATTACTGGATTTAACCTATTTTGGGAAATAGCTCACTCGGTATACCGCTCAAAGATGACGAGGCTAAGATGTCTCTAGGGAAAAAATACGACAGCAATTTTCTCGTGGCTTTGTTGTAGTTTTTAAAATCGATTGTTTCGTATTTTTTTCTTAATATCCTACTACCATTAGGGCCCACCACAACCTAAAAAAAAAGAAAAAACTTGAGGCCCCGTACATTTTTTATTTCATTGAAAATATATTTGCGTCGTAATTTTCTCTGGAACGTTGGATTTCTTTATGACACAGTCAATAATATCTGCCACAATTACTGGATTCAACCTATTTTCGAAAAATATTTGGGAAATAGCTCACTTTTGTTTTAAGGGTTTCTTGGCATCCAAAAATGCAGGACTCTGTCTACCGCTCAAAGATGACGAGGCTAAGATGTCTCTAGGGAAAAAGTACGACAGCAATTTTCTTTGTATGATCCAACACTACCTTCTTTTTTGTTTTTTATTGTTCTTTAGCGCATATCACTTGACGAACCATTTTCTGTTCGTTGGATTTCTTTATGACACAGTCAATAATATCTGCCACAATTACTGGATTCAACCTATTTTGGGAAATAGCTCACTCGGTCTACCGCTCAAAGATGACGAGGCTAAGATGTCTCTAGGGAAAAAATACGACAGCAATTTTCTCGTGGCTTTGTTGTAATTTTTAAAATCGATTGTTTCGTATTTTTTTCTTAATATCCTACTACAATTAGGGCCCACCAAAACCTAAAAAAAAGAAAAAACTTGAGGCCCCGTACATTTTTTATTTCATTGAAAATATATTTGCGTCGTAATTTATCAAAGAACAATTTATTTGAAATAGAAACCCAATGGGGCTTGAGTTTTTATTTAAAATTGTATGCTTCATTTAAATAAAATAGTTATATATAGTCAATACTAATAGAATTAGTTACAAAATGTTTGTGGTGGTTCTAGTACTAGTTATATCCTTCTCGTCGGATGTCCTCGGATGTAAAGTAAAGTTTAAACGATCCTCATTTCATGGAGAATTTCATGGATGTTTTTTATTTTAGGGAGCATGTCCAGAATGTGCGACGTTAATAAAAGAATATTATCCAAAAATAGAAAGAGAACACATGAAATTGTCGATGGCATTGACAGAGCATAGATAAATATTAGAATCTGTGGAAAATAAGCTTAACAAAGATGTCGACGATGCAGTCAATTACATTAATAGGTTATTATTTGAATATGATACTTTTGTAGACGTGAAAATTGGATTTCTAGTGATAAACAAGAACATGGAACAGTGCCTGAGGAAAAAAATTCAGACATTTTGCCGATTAATTTGAACGATATCAGAAAATGCAGGTTAGATAATGTAAAATACGATTACCACTTTACGATTGTAAAGGAAGCAAACCATGATAGAACTAGATATCAATGCTGACTTGGACTGCGTTCGAAAAGTAAAGAGCGCCTTTGTCACGACTATTCAACCTCCAAAGATAATTTTACCAAATGCGCTGATGCAAATAAGGAGGTGATGCCTTCATTGTAAACATTTTATTAAAGATATTAAAACAAACTTACCGTATCTTTTCCTTTTATGATCTTTTCAGGAAACTGCATCTTCCTGGAAACCCCCACCTTCTTAGCCTTAATGGTGTTCTCTTTTTCTTCCAAGGAACTCGAATCCAGACTATCCTCCTCAATATCAGGCAATACGAACGTTTCTCTAGTTTTTTTTCTTTTATTTGAGTCGAGGTGTACTTTGGTGCATCAATCAATCGATGGTAAGTCTTGATTTCATTTTCATGCGAGGTGGTAGCTCATCCATATCCTCGGAACTTTTTTGGTGGAACATTTCCAGTTCCTCCCAGATTTTTATAAGAGCGTTCTCGAAGCTCGACGTTTCCTTCTGGATGTCTTTAAATTTGTTCATCAACTTGTCAAAGATATTCTTTAAATTTACGTAGTCTTTCACTGTTTTAACTTCCATATTTTAGTAGCTGGTATATGTAATTACGCCCTCACCAGATGATGATAGAGAGTCTGTGTCTAGTTTAGGTTTTTTCCATTCCGCCTCGTTTTTAGTACATACATCGCATACAAAAAACAAGCGTTTTATGGCTGATTGCTCTTTAACGGATGAGAACGAGCCCGTTGAGGTGAAGTCTTCATTGAATAGAAAACTGTCCGGGATTATTCTATAGCCGTCTATTTTGCTACTCAGGTAGTCCAAGTTTTCTGAAATGATTGAGTGTATGGTATTAAAATGTTAATCCTATAATGGCCTCCAAAATCTCCAAATCTCACACAAATTTTTTATGGGGTCGGTAAAAAAATAAGTGTATTGCTATACCTGATATATCCATAATTCTCACTGCTAAATAGTGTCCATTTTCTTGTGCAATTGTAACATATTCTCCTACAGCGGGTTGTCCCATTATTTCGGCGTTTGTTGATGGATCTACAATAAATTTGGAAATTATAAATTATACTGAAAGGTTGTTTTATATTATATGTTACCTCTGGTATAGTTTCTTTGTTTTTGACATGACAGGAACATAAGATCTAAAGCTCCTTGTATAATATCTGCATTGACTATAAAAAATTGTTTTATTTGTTAAAATATAAACTTCCCAAGGAGCACAGCTGGTTAAACTAAACAATAACCCTTTAAATTAAACATAACGTAAATTTAACGTTAATTTAACCAGTTGTGCTATTTGGGTTTGAGAAATATTAATACTTACAATCTTCAACTTTGACGTTATTGTTGCCAAACACCATATTTTCACTATTTCACTCTTTAAATATTAAATGTATATTATAACATTCTTACACTATCTTTCTCTTCAGAAATTTTATTGGAAACCCTAACATTTTTAACCTTAATTTCTTTAAAAAAACTCGAATCCTGACTACGTTTCTTAATATCAGACGTTTATCTGTGTTTTAAATAACAAGACTTCGTCAGTATAGTTTAACTTTTCTAAGCGTTCTCGATTGATGAAATTGTATTTAAAAATGAATAACAATTTTCTTGGAAGAGATTTAAGCCATAAAAGACATCTTAACCAAGTTGAAATGGCTAGAGCAATTACTCTTTTACAAGTTGGTTAGGTGGTCAGAAAGCCCTATAGACAACGACAAAGAGTCCTTAAAACGAGAACCAGAACTTCTTCTCAACTGCGACATGTCCATTTTGAAGCAACTGGTAGGCATATCCACCCAGACTGTACGAAGCAAATAAATAATATTAGGAGTGATGCTGTTGGGCCTTTTTTGAAGAACAAGTGTTATGGATTGCCCAATTAAACATCCTTGGAGCATTATGAAAAGGCGCCAAAGACCAACTACCTTCATAATCACTTGACGATGAAGCCTACCTCAGGAGTATGAACTCCATGTATGCAACTGGTTTCCCAAAATTTAGAGGGGGCTGGTGTGTTTGTATCCAAACAGCAGACGCCAACTCCACTAGTGGTAACAGTTTTCACAAATATTTATTTGCCCTCTATCACTGAACATGTTACTAAACCCCTTCATTGAGGATATGAGGTGCAACGAAAGAAAAGCATCCACCATAGTTCTATAGTTTATAAAACTGAAATACCTACCTATGTATAAAAACTCAACAAATTAATTTTTAGACCTTTATTAACTCGCTATATATGCAAAAACACAGTACGACCCAGAGTACATTATTCTATTTTGTATGATCCAACACTACCTTCTTTTTAGTTTTTTATTGTTCTTTAGCGCATATCACTTGACGAACCATTTTCTCTGGAACGTTGGATTTCTTTATGACACAGTCAATAATATCTGCCACAATTACTGGATTCAACCTATTTTGGGAAATAGCTCACTCGGTCTACCGCTCAAAGATGACGAGGCTAAGATGTCTCTAGGGAAAAAATACGACAGCAATTTTCTCGTGGCTTTGTTGTAATTTTTAAAATCGATTGTTTCGTATTTTTTTCTTAATATCCTACTACCATTAGGGCCCACCACAACCTAAAAAAAAGAAACAACTTGAGGCCCCGTACATTTTTTATTTCATTAAAAATATATTTGCGTCGTAATTTTCCCTGGAACGTTGGATTTCTTTATGACACATTAAATAATATCTGCCACAATTACTGGATTCAACCTATTTTGGGAAATAGCTCACTCGGTCTACCGCTCAAAGATGACGAGGCTAAGATGTCTCTAGGGAAAAAATACGACAGCAATTTTCTCGTGGCTTTGTTGTAATTTTTAAAATCGATTGTTTCGTATTTTTTTCTTAATATCCTACTACCATTAGGGCCCACCACAACCTAAAAAAAAGAAACAACTTAAGTTGTTGAGGCCCCGTACATTTTTTATTTCATTGAAAATATATTTGGGTCGTAATTTTCCCTGGAACGTTGGATTTCTTTATGACACATTAAATAATATCTGCCACAATTACTGGATTCAACCTATTTTGGGAAATAGCTCACTCGGTCTACCGCTCAAAGATGACGAGGCTAAGATGTCTCTAGGGAAAAAATACGACAGCAATTTTCTCGTGGCTTTGTTGTAATTTTTAAAATCGATTGTTTCGTATTTTTTTCTTAATATCCTACTACCATTAGGGACCACCACAACCTAAAAAAAAGAAAAAACTTGAGGCCCCGTACATTTTTTATTTCATTGAAAATATATTTGCGTCGTAATTTTCTCTGGAACGTTGGATTTCTTTATGACACAGTCAATAATATCTGCCACAATTACTGGATTCAACCTATTTTCGAAAAATATTTGGGAAATAGCTCACTTTTGTTTTAAGGGTTTCTTGGCATCCAAAAAGGCAGGACTCTGTCTACCGCTCAAAGATGACGAGGCTAAGATGTCTCTAGGGAAAAAGTACGACAGCGATTTTCTTTGTATGATCCAACACTACTTTCTTTTTTGTTTTTTATTGTTCTTTAGCGCATATCACTTGACGAACCATTTTCTCTGGAACGTTGGATTTCTTTATGACACAGTCAATAATATCTGCCACAATTACTGGATTCAACCTATTTTGGGAAATAGCTCACTCGGTCTACCGCTCAAAGATGACGAGGCTAAGATGTCTCTAGGGAAAAAATACGACAGCAATTTTTTCGTGGCTTTGTTGTAATTTTTAAAATCGATTGTTTCGTATTTTTTTCTTAATATCCTACTACCATTAGGGCCCACCACAACCTAAAAAAAAGAAAAAACTTGAGGCCCCGTACATTTTTTATTTCATTGAAAATATATTTGCGTCGTAATTTTCTCTGGAACGTTGGATTTCTTTATGACACAGTCAATAATATCTGCCACAATTACTGGATTCAACCTATTTTCGAAAAATATTTGGGAAATAGCTCACTTTTGTTTTAAGGGTTTCTTGGCATCCAAAAATGCAGGACTCATTCTACCGCTCAAAGATGACGAGGCTAAGATGTCTCTAGGGAAAAAGTACGACAGCAATTTTCTTTGTATGTTCCAACACTACCTTCTTTTTTGTTTTTTATTGTTCTTTAGCGCATATCACTTGACGAACCATTTTCTGTTCGTTGGATTTCTTTATGACACAGTCAATAATATCTGCCACAATTACTGGATTTAACCTATTTTGGGAAATAGCTCACTCGGTATACCGCTCAAAGATGACGAGGCTAAGATGTCTCTAGGGAAAAAATACGACAGCAATTTTCTCGTGGCTTTGTTGTAGTTTTTAAAATCGATTGTTTCGTATTTTTTTCTTAATATCCTACTACCATTAGGGCCCACCACAACCTAAAAAAAAAGAAAAAACTTGAGGCCCCGTACATTTTTTATTTCATTGAAAATATATTTGCGTCGTAATTTTCTCTGGAACGTTGGATTTCTTTATGACACAGTCAATAATATCTGCCACAATTACTGGATTCAACCTATTTTCGAAAAATATTTGGGAAATAGCTCACTTTTGTTTTAAGGGTTTCTTGGCATCCAAAAATGCAGGACTCTGTCTACCGCTCAAAGATGACGAGGCTAAGATGTCTCTAGGGAAAAAGTACGACAGCAATTTTCTTTGTATGATCCAACACTACCTTCTTTTTTGTTTTTTATTGTTCTTTAGCGCATATCACTTGACGAACCATTTTCTGTTCGTTGGATTTCTTTATGACACAGTCAATAATATCTGCCACAATTACTGGATTCAACCTATTTTGGGAAATAGCTCACTCGGTCTACCGCTCAAAGATGACGAGGCTAAGATGTCTCTAGGGAAAAAATACGACAGCAATTTTCTCGTGGCTTTGTTGTAATTTTTAAAATCGATTGTTTCGTATTTTTTTCTTAATATCCTACTACAATTAGGGCCCACCAAAACCTAAAAAAAAGAAAAAACTTGAGGCCCCGTACATTTTTTATTTCATTGAAAATATATTTGCGTCGTAATTTATCAAAGAACAATTTATTTGAAATAGAAACCCAATGGGGCTTGAGTTTTTATTTAAAATTGTATGCTTCATTTAAATAAAATAGTTATATATAGTCAATACTAATAGAATTAGTTACAAAATGTTTGTGGTGGTTCTAGTACTAGTTATATCCTTCTCGTCGGATGTCCTCGGATG